ACACATGAAAAATATCAACACCTCTGCACAAAACAGACTTTAAAAAAAAGGTAAAAAGGATAAAATGAGTTTGCTCTTACTACCAGAACTTCCCAAACTAAAAAGTGAGCAGAATTGTTGCTTCTTCCCCTATCCCAAGGAAATGCTTTCTGCATGGGATTGAAAAAGTGGCATCATATGCCACAAGTCAGTCTCTAGCCCTCTTCAATGACTCAATGTACTCCAGCTGCAGCTTTATTTCCCATTGCACAATTCCTTGCTCTTTTTCCACACTCCCACTCTCTTCCTCTGCCCATTTTCTTCTTCTATTTTCCTCCCTCAATCTGCCCTCTCCTGCACTACTGTCTGCATTCTTGCCTTCACCCATCCCAGTCTTTGTTTTTGACCTCCAGTCCTTTTTCTTTTATGCGCTCTTCTTCATAAATAAATTTAAAACAACAACAACAAAAAAACCCAAACCACCAACGTTCTGTTTTCTGCAATTCATCTCTTGAAATAACTAATACTCTTAATACCCTTCTTCAGTGACACGACTGCTTAGTGCAACACTCAGCCTAAAATCAGAATAAGCAACAGAATTCTGCACGCCTAGTGTAGATAAATAGAAAATCCAGCTGCTAGGGTAAATTCTAGCAACTCACCTCCAGACTATTTTGCTCTTTTAAAAAAAAAATAAAATAAATAAATTATGACATACCTTTATAAATCACTTCCGTACTTGAAAACCTGTAAGCAACTTCTGTTTTATCGTTGGAAACTTTTACTCACTGAAGTGACAGCAGTGAGACCCTCTAGAGGTCTTCAGAGTTAAGTCAGACTGCTGTTTTCTTCATTCCCTTCTCACCCCTCATCTTCCTCACATGAAAAAGAAGAATTTTCAGACTTGGGAGGTCTCAACTGCAATGACTCCACTCTGTCAATGAGGAGGTATTTCACAGCAGAGTTCAAAGCAAAGCAATACAACTTGGAATAAGATATATACATTAACACAGGACAGCCAGTGAAGATGACAAGCATGCCTACACATCAACTGCAGCTGCTATGCACAGGCAGAGCTTTAGAACTCTGCAATGTCATCTCCTCTGGGGGCCACACAATCCACAGGCATCGGTGACAAAGGACTCCAGGTGCAATTCCACTCACAGAATTTAGTCCTGCACGCAGGTTCTTCTTTGTTTTAGCGCTACATACACAAATCTTTAAACTTACCTCCTCTGAACATGCAGAGAATGCCTCTTCCTGCCTACGAGTATCATGCTGCTCACACAAACAGCTACAGGAATTTCTTAGGCCAGGTAATTTTTGGTAACAGTTCTAAACACATACTAGACCAAGGATCACATAACTTGATGCTACTTTTTGCAGCACTATGTTTATGGTTATTAAGACATTTCTTTTCAATGGATAAAACCAAATTACTGGGTTTTGGGGACATCTCATTGTAAAAATCGATGCAATAAACCGTTATGCAATATTACTTTTTAACAAGGCCTTTTCAGGGCTTCACTTGGTCGTATGGGACAGCAACAAAACAAATATGTCAAACCTCTTCTATTCCACTGATATCACTGCTGCATTTAGTAAACATATGACAGGAAACAGGCTGCATCTAAAATTGCTGTGGCATTTCCAAATGAGCCAAATTTATCCCGTGTGACTTCAACGGAGTCCATGTAGTTGCACCAGGAACAAGCATGGCCCAGAGTTTTCACTTTGGTCACATAGCTCCTCTCATTGTGAAGGACACCCAGGAACAGAGATAAAAATAACCTAATACAAATCAGGGAACCAGTCACATGTCAGTGAAGAAGGATGCAGTAGCTGTGACTGGTGACTCATTCTAGGGGACCAGGTGCAGGGGATCCCCTACATAGTAAAATATGGGGTCAGTCACGTGACCGCTTCCTGCAGATCCACGCTGTGTATAAAACAAGCCTTTCACATCCATGAACAACGCGGGATTAAACACACAACTGCACAGCGATGCAGCCAACAGTTTCTCCTGTGCAATACGTGGTCTTGTTGCACATAAGTAACATTGACTTTAAAAAAATGTCAAATGTAGTTTGCCCCTTTGCTGCATTTTCCTTTCACGAAGTGGTGTGTGCATGCATAATACTTCTTAATATTGACCTAAAACATAAGCAGGGGACTAAACAGCAGAGAACAGCTCCTGTCTGCGGCAATGATCAGCCTTCATTTCAGTGGAATTATTTTTCAGGCTGTCCATTTTGACCTTGATAGCCACCCATATGCAGCTGTGTTACTGAATCTGTTTCTCTTTGTGCAGGCTTTAGGTGGGTGACAGCACCATGGAGGATTAACAAGCAAGGTATGTGTTTATTAGTCAAAGCCATGCACTTGTAAAGCCAAACTTGTTGAAATACAGACACAGAATTTGCTTCCTTTGCTTATAAGAAAACTTCTCCCACAGACAGGCCTAATAGGTAAAACAACATGTGGGTGTTTTAATAATTTCCAATTCCATATGAGCTTTTAAATCAAGTTATGCTATTTTGACCTTTACTCATCTTTTCTCTACACTCTTTTCTACCCTTAAGAGGTATATATTTTAAATTACCCTGTCTTTCTTTTTTAAGGTCCTTTATTGCCTGTCTGGTAATGTATTTTCAAACAGCTAATGTTAGAGTGACAGCTTGACTGAGCTTTCTGACCTATTGCTTGCTCCCTCACCAAAGGGAAGAGTATTTTTTTTTTCCCTTCCCAAGAGATCTCCCTGTCTCTCCTCACCTGTGTTGGCCTTGCATCTGTGATGCCCAACCAGCTAATACTGCCTTTTACGGAAGCACTTCAAAGCCCCAGGTCCTGCCCCTCGAGTCACGCAAGTGAAATATGGAGCAACATAGCAGTGCAGCTGCTTCTGTAAGTGCAGTAAATCCAATGCTGTATACAGAAATGGACTTATTGCGCATACACGCAGGTAAAAAAATCATGCTGTTCCAGTCCTTCTGAGGGCAGCCAGGAAGATGACAGATATGTTGCGGCGGCAGGTCACGCACAGCCCAACGCCCACAGATTGCACACACCCTGCATTAAAAAAATGACATAGCGAGTTGTGATGAAGTCATCCTCAGGAAATACTGTTCTCTGTGCAGTGTCTACCACATGAGCTAGTTAAACAGACTCCTCTGTACTAGCTTATATCCGTTAGTTGTTCGCTTACCATGCCTTGTCTGGAAGAGGATAAACAGCCTAATGCACCCCAGCCTGCACTGGGCTGGGAGAAGGAATATGCTGTCAGCCAAGTACTTAGGAATTCCTGTGCACGTCTTGCTTTTACTGCACTCGGGGCAGACTGACCAGCAAAGAGCTAAGCAGAATATACTTGGCAAGCACTTTAACTGCTTAAATAGGTGAAAACAGGTACAGCATAAAGTCAAACAAAGCTGAAAAATTATAGTCACTATGAAAGTAAGTTCCTGGTGCACATTTTGTTCACAATAAAGTTAAGATCAACTATAGCTCAAAACATCGTAACAAAATCTGAAGGTCAGTTTTCGGAGGAGATGTCATCCTATGGAATCCTCTATAGGTATTATCCATGTGTAATCTGGTTTCTTTTAAAAGTCTCTCTTTAAATACCAACACTGCCACTACAAGCACGTGTATTCTGCTCATACAGCACCATTTGACTCTACAGCTCCACGTGGAGGGATTAAAAGAGTCTAAAAGACACTTCTGTTTCATTTTAAGATTTTCCATTTTAGTTCATCTGACCACAAATTTGTGGACAACAAAGTACCTCTGATTCAGTCAGTCATCGTGTAATTTAGGCAGCAGATATCTAAGCAATGCTTTCCCTTTATGTGGCATATATGAGTAGATAGGAATTTCATTTATTGGAGAAAAATAATAGAGATGACAAGGAGAGGCCTTTTGTCAAAGATATCATGATATACAGTCATGAAACATTTAGTGGCAAGTGCAGCTTTAGGAGCAAAGTTTGAGAGATGCATATATCATCATCATCACCTTGAAAACCAATATTTCACACTGCGATAGTACCTTCACCTCGCTATGAGCTAAGCAAGCGTATATCAAAGCCAGCCTTTTTCCATGGAAGGTTTGTACAGGAGAGTTTTACATCACAACTACTTATTGGAAGTTTTAAGACAATTGACACCCTGTGCTTCCATCTGCCATTAAAAGGGGGAAAATATACTTGAAATAAAACACTCACTTAAGAGACAAAGTTATATACATGCTTTATTTTGTTCCTCATAGCAGTCGTCCGCCTTTGCACCAACATTTTGCAACACATGGTCCCACATGTATATAAAAACAAATTTTAGTTCTTATTCTGTTTTTTCTGTTTACTGCTAAAATTCCCTATAGCAGCGATGCAAGGCTTTTAATTACGCACCATAAAGTATTTTTACTTGGAATGGAAATGCTTCAACAAGATTTCTTTCACTCCTTTTCAAAATAAGGTACTGGCAAATCAGATTACCTGCCCGTGTCAATAACAGCTAGCAGTAATATCCAGATCTAGCCATATCATCAGACTTTCACCTGTGCTTGAACAAATAAAGCGGGGTGGTGGGGAGGGAAGTCATCCATGGCCTTTCTACTGACTGTGAAGGATGGAGAGATTAGCATCTGAAGCAATGATCTGGGAAAATCCCACATATCTACAATTTCCATTTTACAATTCCTCACTACTGCTAGGAAGCAGGTGCTCAGTAGCCTTCAGGAATAAGAAGCGCAACACAGCACAAATCCTGTTTTAATATAAAAGCACTGTAAAGGCAACCTATTTATTTCAGGCATTTTAGAACTTTAAAACAATCTCCATTTGCACACATCAAAACGCTTTACTTCTGCATTTCTAACTCTTCACTTTCCTGCTTTCCCAGCTCCACAAAGGCTGTCTAAAACAAAAAGAGAAGATAACAGGCACTTTGCACTGTTCCTGACAACTTTTCTTCTTTCCTGCACTCCTAAAACCTCTGATTTGTGCCCTCTGCTTTCTTGTTGCCATGGAGAAGGTCCAATACATAACCCGCTCTGCTCTGAGGAGAGCCTCAACTATTGAGGTCAACCCACAAGCACGCCAAAGGCTCCAAGAGCTCTTTGTGAATTTCTGCCTGATTCTAATTTGCCTCTTGCTGATCTGTATCATTGTGATGCTCCTCTGAAGTTCCAGCACTTCTCTGCACTGTCCTCTAGGAAAGTCACCCCAAAGGGAAGAGAGACCTACACCCGCAACTCCCAATGCAAGGATCCTCTTGTGAGAGGGGCTAGCACTTGGACTTGAGCTGTATGCCAACCATCGTGCTCTTCTCTTTCTACCTTCTACATGTATTAAAAACACACTTCTGTGCAGAACAGTGTTTAGAGCCTGTTGTTACAAAGCTGTGCATGACCTAATTTGTCTGTCTCAGTCAAGAGATGTCTTTTCTGAATGGGGTAAAGTACTGCCTCTCCATGGAGCTGGTAAGTTCCTCGATGTTTTAGCTAGATTACTGAACAGCAACTTCGCTTTTGGGGCCCTGAGTGTTTTTAAATTTCTCTGAAAATCCTTAAGCCCTTGGAGGGGTTCTAAATTTGGCCCATGTTCACCCAAAGAATAGCTACAGGCACACAGCCTTCAACACAGCCTAGGAAAATTTCTGCTCTGCTTACTTCAAGGTGCCGCATCTTTGCGTTATCAACTGAAGGCATTCAAATTGTTTCAATGCTTTTACAGGAATATGAGAATAAACAAAAAATGTCTTCTAACTCAGAAATGAAAACTATTTCATATGCTTTTCTCCCTATTTAAGGGATTTTAAAATATATATTAAAAATGTATATATATGTGTGTATACGCACACAACTTGGATCTGGAAAAAAAAGGCAATTTCATTTACAGTATTTTTCACTAGATACATCCTTACAGATCTAAATGACATCTGGAAAGTTTTTTTCACAATGTTTTGCAGAAAAATTGACACTACCACACTAGTATCAAAGATTTCATTTTCTATAGTCATTTAAATGACATGACAATTGGCACAACTCAAAAATAATTCTGAGTTCTTAATATTTGGCTTCAGACAACTTTATTATGGCCTGCTGTAATTTATGCAATAATCTCCTTAGTTTAAAACTACAGAAAACATGGTATTTGCCAATGCCACACAATGTGGCTAAAGAATGTGGTAAAGAAAAAGGTTTAGGTCATTCTTACTGCTGTGATCAAAATGTATCAAACAAATGCAAGTAACACCACCACTCTCAACTGCAAATGCCTGTTAGAGAGCAAGCAAATACTTTCCTAAAATACATGATACATACCATTATGCACAGGAAGGAAAGCATTGCAGAAATATCTTTTCAACATGTAAACCACAGTCTATACACATAAAAGGTGAAGTTTCTACTCCAGCAGTTGTCAGTAACAAAACTGAGCAGAAGACTTCAAACTCTCCCAATGTGTTGCTGGCGTTAAACTAAAATTCCTAGAAACTTTATACAGTTTTCAAATTTAAAGAGAGCTCGAGAATCAACAGGTCAAACAGGCATTTATTTTTTAAACAGGCATCTTTCTATAGCACCCTATGTAAGCAATCCTATTGATGAATACAAAAAATGAAAACAATTTTATCCTAATATTGTATGCTGTCTTTAAGACTTAATATTCCATGAGTAGAGGTTGATAATGAACAGCTGAGGAAGAAGCGAAGAAATCTTTGAAAAAACTATGTACTTGATGGAATGCAAGCAAATCCAGTGGTAATGCACTTCCTATCTGGCAAATAGATATGCTGAGACCAGACCTTTGAAATAAGGTTAATCACTAAAGGAAATTAGCTGCCATATGAGGATTAGGGCAAGCACTGATGAGATCGGCAACACCCCCCCCCCTTTGCAAGTTAGTATATTAATATTATTGATTCAAACTGTCAATGTAAATCTCAATTTTCATTTCATGCATTCTAACCACTCTCACAAATGCATGAGACTTTAGAAAGCACACTTTCTCTATTAATTCTTCTTCTTAAGAAAAGCTGCAAACACAGTCCATTTCTTCTGTGGGAAAAAATTAGAAAAATCTAAAGTTACTTTCTTTTCTTTTAAAATCTACCTTTTTGTGATGGATAGGGTTTCCAGTTTTAGTTTGCTTTGGAGGTGTTTCAAGAAACTTCAACTGGAAATAGACAACAGTATAGAAAACTCCCTGAAGAAAAGAGGTGTTAAGAATAAATTCTGAGGACACATTGGGACTATAGGTTTCACAAGCCAGTAATACATAAAAGTAAAAGTGAAGTATTGCTAAAAAAAAATAACAGCCCCTCCTTATAAAAACAAACCCATCACTTTCCTCTTATGTACCTGAAAAAACATTATTTATTTAAAAAACAAGAAACAAGAACAAAACCAAGGTATAAATAAACTGGAAGCCCTACTGTTATTTTATAGCAATGCAGATAAATTGCATGTACTGTACGGTTCCTTTGTGTCTTAGGGTTCTGCTGATCAGAAAAACTGCTACCATCCTCTAGATCACTAAATGATAACTGAACCCAGAGATTAAAAAAATAAAACCTTTTGTACCTAGTACATTCTTCTTTGTATACTTATATGGGCTTTAAAACTAACATCTACTGTATTTTTATTTATTAAAATGACTGCTTGAAGATATATTAATGCATAAAAGAAGATACTTAAATACAATTCCATTTAGAAAGAAGCATCCGTTCTAGCATCTACTTATTACAGTTATGTGAAAAAGAGCTAGTCATCACACAGCTTTCTGATTCTTTATACCTGTTTATTTGGTTTTGGTTTTCAACAGAAGTCTTGTCTGTTTTGCTATGTCCAGATCACTTCCAGATACTTGATTTACACTCACCAACTAGTGCACATAAGTGATCCTAATGAATTTTATGAAAGTGTAATCAAAAAGTTCACTACTTTTATGAGCCGCAATAAAATTTCCAAACACAGCACATAGCTTGGACTAAGTTTTCATTTCTCTGTACCACTCCACTCAAGGCTAGGTCTTTTTGCTAATTTCATCTTACGCACTGATAGACAGCAAAACAGGCAATGATCTGGTATTACTCTTACCCAAAAAACCGCCCAAGTGACATAAACTTCCATGGCAATTTTACACTGGGAAAGAGCTGAATCAGGAACAAGAATTTGCTGGGTTTAAAGATGTGTCTCCTCAGCCAGCTCTTCAGCAAACTTTAGTAAATCTACCCATTTTTCTCTAGGTGAAGACATGACCCATGTCAGAATTAGAAATTTGGTTCTGATCAAGCCAGGTCAGTAAGGCACTTTACAGCACAGCAGGTACTTACATTTCTTTATTAACTTTTCTGCATCAAGTTAGCAACGACTGCCCTTACCAGCAGAACTGAATGACTCAGTGAAAAGACAAATTTAAAATAGGCTTAAACAAAATTTTTCACAAAACATGCACAAATTGCTTGCCCCTCCCCAGCATAAAGAACTTTTATGTAAGTTTTGCTAATAATACACACAGAACAATAATCGTGTCAGACATACATGCTCACACCAAGATGTACTTTACCTATATCCTCTCTAACAAAATTAGAGCAGAATAATGAACACAGTCATTTAGAGAGCATTCTTGTTCATATCTGGAAGCATATTAATATATTATAGATTACAGACCAGATACCTATATTTGTATGGCTATTAATAAATAGTGTCTGTTAGAATACAATTAGAAAGGATTTGCAAAGTCTTACAAGATCCATAGATATCTTTTATTTAACAGCAAATGTAGTCCTTTTAGCTTTGACCTAGATGTTAAAAATTGGGGGGAAAAAATAAAAGAAAAAAAATTGTTTTGCTTATGGAAGAAGATGACTGAACACCTCTAGCTCAATGCAAGGATTAAAAACAGAACAACAGGATTCCTATAAAAACTCGTGCTCATCTTGGTAAGAACCCTGGTAATATAAATTGCTTAAAATAGGCTCTAGATTTATTGTAATCTCTGACAGTTAGTTTAGTCAAACTGATTGCTTTATAAGCCCGTAATTTTTTTTTTTAAGATAAAAGAATGTCAAAAGTTCCATTTTTGTATAAAATATAAAATTATAAAACACTGCCCTCTTGTGATCTTCCCTAAAAACTTAGCTGGTTATTGAAAGGAAGTTTTGGCAACATTTCACTGTGAGAGCGAGTGGTCCTATTTGTTTCTTTCATTTGCATACACATCTATTTCTATATATGAAACACAGTTGTGAAGTTATTATCTTAAAATAAGCTATTGCGTATGTGCTATTAAAAGCACTACGGATGCATCCTCTCCTGGTCCAATTGAGATTCTTAATAAGGCATTTGCAAAGCTGCAATGAATCCTGCACAGCACGCTGCTGGCAAAATGCTATCTGTGTTGTGCAATGCCAAACCCTAGAAGGGTAGGAAACGCTTCTGTTAACTGAGGTACATTTTGCCCAGATGAGAAAGCGGGTTGGTTTGTTTGGTTTTTACCTCAGGAGATCTTTTAAAAGTAAATCTTCAGCAGTCTATTGCTGAAATAAATTAAGTCTTGAGAACAGTCATTCTTTTGCAAAATCAAGTACGCCTGAAGAGTACCATACACATTAAAAAAGTAAATAAAGAGCCAAATTGTATAAAATTCAAGTCCTTTCTCCATTAATCAGTTCTTCAGAAGTTCTTCAGTAGTGAAATGAAAGCTATCATTAACTTTAATATTTTAATTTTTTTTTATTTTTAAGGTATTTGGAAAAAAAGGCTTGTAGGAGCATCCAGATTTTTTTTTTTAAATCTACTTATTGTGAACAAATATTTTTTTCTTAAGTGGCAGAAACTAAACACAGGTAAACAGCTAAGGACACAATGAAATTCATGTGAATCTGCATCGCTTACTACTGAAGGAGCAGTCCAAAGCTACAATCAAGAGTCTGCTGCAAGCACAAGAGGGCAGACTGATGCCCATTATGGATCTTGCTAACAACAGAGGTCTCAACCTGCTACTCAATTTTCTGCTTATTGTCTTGGTTCTGGTGCTGGCATTTATCCTTGTGAAGCTGATGTGAAAGAGGCTCTGCTTCCTTCTCAAACCTTGTTTTGCAATGATAATGTAGACATTTCAAACCATCTGAATACAAATATGCAAAGACTGCAAAGACTGAAATATCTGACAGAGAAAGTGTTTGCATACCTATTTTGTCAGAGAGCGATCCTAAAAGCTGTGCACAATTAGCTACCTGCCACTGAGTAAAGAAAGCATCTAGAGCCTTAGTGAGTACATGAATAAATCCAAGTATGCGTCAGCAGTTATTGTAGTTTTCTTACTGCTACAGCTGACTTGTATTTAAAGATCTAGAAAAGAT